GCGCTAACGGCGAGGATTCAAAAAGTGAAGCAGAGAGTTGCTTCCGGCGAAAATGGTAACGTCGATTACTATAGTTTGATCGGATTGCGACGTGGGTGTTCGAGATCTGAGCTCCAGAGAGCCCATTTGTTGCTCTGTTTGAAGCACACGCCCGACAAGGCCACCGGATTTTTAGACAGATGCGAGTTGGCCGATGATTTTCATCTCGATTCGATTAGAGACAGAGCGAAAATGTCGGCGTTGTTGCTGTATAGGCTGCTGCAGAAGGGGTATTCCAGTATTATGACGGCGATTATGGATGAGGAAGCGGCGGAGAAGCAGAGGAAGAGAGCGGCGGCGGCGGCGGCGCTGCAATCAGCTCCGGCGATCCAATTGCAGCACCAGGAAGATGGTGTTGATGAAATGGAATCGAAATCGGTGGAGATTTCGAGTCATAATAATAATAATAGTAAAGTGGTTTATCAAGGGGTGTTCTGCCGGGATCTGGCCGTCGTCGGGAATCTGCTGTCGCAGGTTGGATTTGGCCGTCCGATTGCGGTGAAGTATGAGGCGTTGAGCTGCTAATTTTGGGGGAAATTTTTGGCCGGCGGGATCCTCAGTTAATTCTTTTTCTCTAATTCCCTATTTGTATAAAAGCATAATGGTGGAACTGCCCGGGAATTTTGTGACCCTTTTGATTTTCATTTTTTTTCAACTGTTCCATCCATTTCATGTACAGATTTTTTTTTATTATTATTTTTTACTTCAGAAATTTCATTTTCGAATATTGGTTCGTCTAGTTTAAATCTTTTCAGCTAAATCTCTCGCTGGTCCTTAATAGTTAATTTCAATTGAGCCTTCCAATATATATAGAAAAAGAAATCTGAGTGAAATTTTTAATCTTTAAAGAAATTAATATGTCATTAAATTATTATTATTTTTTGTTGGGTTCTAAATTTGGATCAACACATCGATTATCTGAATACAGGTGGGGGCAAAAATCGTTTTTCCTATTTTCCTTCCATCAAATGCATGAGCAATGCCTCGGAGGCCAAATCGAACGATACTTTTCAAAATTAAAAAAATCTCGAAATCGCAAAAATCCATCCATTTTCGAAATCCGCCCYTTTGGTCTTCTTCATTTTTTTTTCTTCCTCTGACTGTCGGTTTTCCTTCATCCGACCCTCTATTCCTCTTCTCCGGCCGTCTGACTTCGTCTCCGACCAGCTCCGCTTTTCTTTGTAGCAAGAGCATTTCATCTTCGGCCGCCTTCGAAAAGAGATTTTCGTCAGTTCTTATTCTTCGAGTGTTTCTGCCTGTTTTCGTCTCTGACCAACGTTTGTCTGCCTTCATCTCCGGCTACCTCCATTTTTCTCAGTCGCCAGAACAGTTCATCTCCAGATTGAAAGGTTTGCATGAGTGATTTGATTAGGATATATCTTATAACTCAACTTGTATATATGCGGATATGCGGATATATACTATAATGATTTTGAATGTATATATGCAGATATATAAGTGGATATATCTTATAACTCAATTTGTATATATGCGGATATACAGATATATATTACAGTGATTTTGAATGTATATATGTATATATATAAGTGGATATATACTGTGATTTTGAATATATTTTTTGTGTATACGGATATATGTTTATCGAGAGTTCAAAATATGTTTATGTGATTTTGAATTGTCTTTGAAGATTAAGCACCAATGTGGGAGTGAATTAAGGGAAAATCAATATTTTTTAGGGAGTAAATTAAAGTTTTGAAGGAGTGAATTAAGAGATTTGTGTTGAAAATTAGTATGGAACCCACAATAATTAAAGGATTATGATAATAATTTATGGAATTAAATCTTTTATATTTAAAAAAAACAAATAACTATAATAAATGTAAATAAATAAATAAAGGTAAAATCAGAATTAAAATAAAATCCTACCTACAAAAATCTAAAAGTGTAGAATTAGAAAAATTTAGACATTTGTATAAACAAGTTTCTAAAACAATCATCGAAGACATTATCTTTTTTGTAAATGACATGAAACAATGTGAGACATGAATCGTAACCTAAATTCACGGAATAAGTGTAATTAGAAATTGGGAGAGGTGATTTTGACTGGATTTGAAGGTAATTTTTTAATAAAAAGAAAGATTAAAAAACAAAAATTGAAATTAAATTTAACTCTTAAAAACCATAAAAGAAAATCGATTTAAAAATAAAAACAAATTTTAAAATTAAATTTAAGGATTTAACTGACAAAATCTTAAAACAAATAAATAAAAGAAAATCAATTTAACTCATTATTATTAAACATTTAAATTTTAAACTAAATCTAACTTTTTAAAAATTATTTCATCCTCAATAATGGAACTAAAAATTAAATTGGATAGTAAATTACCGATAAAACATAATCAATTTCCATTGTTTCAATATTTTCATTATAAGTATTACCTATATATTTAGATATGATGGTTAAAGATGATTAGTTACAGGTTAATTAAGCTACAATTAAAGTCTTATTTATTAATTCAAAAAATTTGTATCAATATCTACCATTTCCATGATTTTTTTTCGAAATATCCATTGACATCGACATTTTCATAAAAATCGGAACCCCGATATTTCTATAGACATTGACATTTTAAATTTTGATTTTTTTTGTCGCTTTGAATAAATTGATTTTATTAATAGTTAAGTATAATTTGAATGGCATGTTCATTTTTTAATGGAATATTTAGTCCAAATAAGTTGTTATCGCAAATGGGTCAAATTAATAATAATATTTTCCAAATGTCCTTTTTTTTTTCAAAATTTACAAATCTAAATTTCTAAGATTCAAATAAGTTTAACGTATTATATTTCTAACGATAATCCATCATCGTTTAATGCAAATATTTATAGTAATGATTAAATGACAATGTTTTAATAAATGATACAAATCTTCTATCAATGGGTATTTTCTTTCCTAATATGATTGTCATTTAACGCTATATTTTGTAATTATCATGAAAATATTGATAGAAATTCTTACCAACAAGAATCTACTACTAAAATATTCTAGTTTTTTTTTTCCACAGTGATATCGATTTCAGTTTACTTTTCCGACGGTTCCTTTTTTCTTTCAATAACCCACCATATTTTATTACTGACAGTTTATTTCTACTTTTCAGAAACCCATTAATTTTTCCCGCAACTTAATTCCTTTTTCTAACAATTGACATAATATAAACATTTTAATCTAATATCAGTATTGTTGAGCAGATAATCCAAAAATTCCCTAGTGATACAGTAATCACCAAAGCAAACAAGTAAACAAGTAGACAAGTAGAGTAGAAGAGAAAGAGGAACACAATTTGTTTATAGTGGTTCGACAAGATGTCTACATCCGCTTTAGAGGCGAGAGAGATTATTATTCACTATTCAAGAAGCTATAAACGTTGTTTTAGAGGGAGTTGGGTAGTTTCTGTACCAAAAAACCTACCTAACCCACTAAAACCCTTTTTTAGGACTTATTACAAAATTGAGAATTGAAGTAACCATGGTTCAGAGGAATTAACCACAATAATATATGAGTTACAGTTTAACAAATCAACCCTTAAGTCTTATATTACCAACATATAGAAGATAAACAGAAAAGGTGATGTTACCCTATGGCTTACATTGAAGCATGTTTATATCAGCCAATTCCAACTTTTAATAGTCTACAGAGATAGTCGAATCTGTCTCCTTGTAAAGTTTTTGTTGCCATATATGCTCGATTATTAGTAGTGTGAATCTTTGCTAGAGTCAGATTGACATTATTCACCATTTCTCTAATATAATGAAACCGTACGTCGATATGTTTTGTCTTGTTGTGATAAGTTGGATTCTTTGAAAGTGTTTAAGCACTTTGGCTGTCACAATAAACTTTAGCGTTAGCTTATTTATCAAGCATCTCAGATACAATTCCCTTTAACCACAGGGCCTCTTTGGCAGAATCTGAAAGAGCAATATATTCTGCTTCAGTCGACGATAATACCACTATAGACTGTAAATTAGATCTCCAGCGGACAACATTTTCAAACAATGTAAAAACATGCCTTGTCAGCGAACGTCTCTTATCCAAATCAGAGGCATAATCTGAATAACATAACCTACAAGGTATTCTGTATTAATTTTCTGCACTTTTCTCATAAACCAAGCCCTTTTGGATTGATCCTTTTAGATATCTAAGGATCCTTTAGATGCTTTCCAATGAGATATTCCCGAATTACTCATAAATTTGCTCACCATACTCATAGAATAAGGCAGATCTGATTTGCTACATATCATTCCATACATTATGCTTCCAACTAAACTAGTATAAGGTAATAGATTGCATATCCTTTTGTTCTTCATGGGGTGGAAGGTGACTCTAGGTTTGAAAGCTTAAAATGTTGTGTTTTTACTAGTTTAACATTTTCTATGTGGAACCTCTTCAATATTTTGTGAAAATGCTCAACATGTGAAATATAGAGTAAATTTCTAGTGTGATCTCGACATATTTCCATTTCAAGAATCTTCTTGGCTGCACCCAAGTCTTTCATTTCAGACTCTAACCTCAACTGAACTTTTAGAATTTTAATTTTTGTTCTACTTTGAGATGCAATTAGGATATCAACGACGTATAGAAGAAGTAATATAAAAGTCTCAGCAGTGACATTCTTTCTATATACACAGCTATCAAAGAAACTTTTAACAAAACCTTGTGAAAAAATGAAAGAATTAAACCTCTTATTCCATTGCCTTGGAGATTGTTTTAATCCATATATGGATTTTTGAAGATGGCAAACCATATCCTTCCTTACAGCTTCTACAAATCTAGGCAGCTGCTTCATACACTATAAGAAAAAGGAGTTTTAGAGATGCGTAAAAAATGTCGCTAAATCTTTCAGCGACTAGATCTGGTTCGTTTCTAAGAACGTCACAGATAACTCGTTTAAAGTTTCAGCGACATTGTTGGTCTGTCGCTATTGTCGCTGAAATCATTTTCAACGACATTCTTAAATGTCGTTATATAACATTTCAGCGACAAAACTGCCTTGTCACTGAAATTATATTTAGCGACATCTTTTTATGTCGCTAAAAACCGGTTCCAGAATAGGCAATATCCAGTTTTCGTTCCAATTTCACCTTCAATTTTTCTCAATTTCTGTGATTTAAAACAACACATACTTAAAATGTCGCTGTAAAGTATTTTTAATAATAAAAAATATGTAATGTAGACCCCTAAATTTGTCCGGTATTCCATTTCATCATTCTTTTTTATTTGATTTGTAGTAGTTTTCTTAAATGATCAATATTTTCCCTTTTTTTGTGTTTTATCAATAAATAAATAAATAATATAAAAAAATATATTTGACTGCAAATATTGATTTCCTTTTCAAAATCAAATCATTTAAATAAAATAAAATCAAAAAGATTTTTTTAGATTAAATGTGAATTTCCATATTTTCTCAAAATAAAATTTCAAAATAAAAATAAAATAAAATCTTACTCATATTGAAAAGTTCTAATTATGATTTAGTAGAATTTGGGTAAAAATCAAAATTTGAAATAAAATCATAAGATTGATTGTGTAATGAATGAAAATATCTTTTCCATTTCTAAATTAGGGTTTTGAAGATATTGGTTTAGGTTTAGGGACAAGGAGAAACATATCACAAAGGGAGGTCTGCTTGCTCTCTCTCAAGTTTGCTCTATAAACTATTTTCACCACAACTTTCTTCTTTATCATTTTACTCGCGACACATTTGAATAAGAATGCAAAAA